CTGCTTATTGTCCTCCTTAATGAACCCTCAAGCATTCTCGAATTCCGTCGCACCGTGTAATTCGCATCCTCAATTTTAATTATTCAGAATGATCACAGACGACAAATGAAGGAAGACAGGTCGGGCGTTTCAGACGTTTTGCAGAACTACAGCAATAGCAAACATTTCATCCCTTATTGTGTTTCGCGTTTCAGCAATCCGGACGAGGTTCACAAGAGTTCTCAAACCGATTGTCACTTTGATTATTTCATAAAAAGGTTAGGAAGTTGTATTTATACAATATACTCGTCGACGAAATCATATTTATACAAGTTACAAAAATATATTTCGTGGTAAAAAATTGTGGAATATTTAATTATTAAAACGAGTTTCCTCATTTTCTCTATTTTCACGGTAAAATAATTATTTTGGGTCGGATGATAATTGTAAATATACGAAACAAAAATTTATTAGATTTTATTGCGTTAGTTAATACTGAGAGCTGTAATCACCCACACCAGTGTTAAATAAAATACAAAAATGTGTTCCAGCGCGAGATTTAATATTTGCTTGGAAAGAATTATTAAAATCAACAGGAGTGATTAAAATTTGAAGTATTTGCACGAAAATGGCCGATTAAGGAGCAAGTTAGAAACTAATAAAAATTCTCGATTTGTAGCTTCTCAATTTGCAGCAATCAACGCGAAAGTATTACGTCGAAGATATTTGGATATAGTCCATCCAGCCATTGTATTAACCAACTGAAACAGCCAGCGAGAAACTGCATTACTGCGAATTCTCTGCAGACTGTCGCATTTATTGTTACCCGAAATGCACCTTCCACAATTCACGAATTTTCAGCAGTCCCTTCGAAATAATGTTTTCCGGAAGCATTGCTGCATTTACATCTGGCTGGGCTAAAAGGACGATACTGCTCGGACACTTTAACGGAATTAACGGTCTATAGAATTAAGCGGAATCTTCTACAAAAGGTGCAATTCAATTCTTTAACCCCATTTGTTTCACGTAGCAGGTGGTTACATCTCCGAGTTCGTTCCTGATGAAAATAACTTCGCGTGTTAGATTCCACTGGTAAGGCTCATTACGATAAAAGAATTCTTTGATTTTATACAATTTCCATAATGAATCGTTGCAAAACAAATTTCGTTTCTAACGAAAGCAACGTTACATTTCATTCGTGAGGCTATTTAATTGAATTACAATATTTAATTGAAATTATAATTTTTAATACAAATACGACATGATGTTAGAAGGAAAGGGACCTAGAACTTAAGATTTTATTCGCAAGAAATACTATTCGATGGAAAATATAATTTTTGATACAAGTGCGACGCTATGTTAAAAGGGAAGGGATCGAGATCATAAAATTCATTCACGAGGAAAACTATTAAATCAAAATTATAATTTTTGATACAAGTACGACGCGATGTTAGAAGCGAAGGGACCGAGAGTTTAAGATTTCATTCACGAGGAATATTATTTTATCAAAATTATAATTTTTAATACAAGTGCGACAATTTGTTAATAGGCAAGGGACCGAGAACTTAAGGTTTCATTCACGAGGAAAACTATTAAATCGAAATTATAATTTTTGATACAAGTGCGAGGCGATGTTAAAAAGGAAGGGACCGAGGGCTTAAGATTTCATTCACGAGAAAAACTACTCAAGTGAAATTATAATTTCTGATACAAGTGCGACGCTATGTTAGAAGGGAAGGAACCAAGAGCTTAAGATTTCTTTTACGAGGAATACTATTCAATGAAAATTATAATCTTCGATATTATATGGCAAGTGACCAAACGCTCCTAACCTAATAGAAGCACGTTCACCTAAGCAATCCAAGTGACAACGAGCATCGTTCAGTTCGAAATTGAAACTCGCAGAGACACGATATTTAATTTTCATTAAATCGACTGCCCTTTCGAGGGTAAACCAGCTAAGAAGGCTGGGGCATGTCGACTAGAAGGAATTTTTAAACGCAGAGTAAACGGGAAACGACGAAGAAACGGATCCGAACCGACCCATTTACTACTCTGTCTTCATACCTGAAAGCCGTCGTACGTCCAGGAGCCGAATTTCATCTCGCAGCGCTGATCATCAAAGGGAAACCAGGTAATGTCTATCTTGCAAGTGCTTTTGAATATGCCGGGCGGTACGTATAAGCAGGTCCCATTGTTCTTCACGACGACGTTCGTCGGGTAAGTGCCGTCGAACCCTTCGTCCGCGCTGTAACGAACAATCGTTAACGTTAATCGGGGTTCGATTGGTCTTTAACAGGGGTGCATTTGGGACGTAATCTTTGAACTCTCGAAACTCGAGTACGGGAGTTCGTGCGATTTCGAAACTTCCGACATCTCCGAAACTTTGGATCTTCGAAACTCGAGCAACCAAATGCTGATTTTATTTCGTAAGAATTTTTCGAAGAATTTGGCTTCGACGATCTGTATCTCGACGGAACTTTTGCGTTACAGAAAAATATGCAACTCGGAATATTAACAATTATTTAAAAATACCAATGGTCCACGTCAATCTGAATTTAGTATGTCTCCATTTTTCGTATTCTTCGATTTGATAGGAATAAAATTTCTAGGATTTTAACAGTAGTTTCGAGGATTTCAAGAGATATTACAAAAAATTTTTAATTGAGAATTTTGAATCACGAAGGAGCAAAGCTTCCAATTTCCTTCTTGGGATTTGCAATACGAAGGAAAATGTTTTCGGTTGGTGTAAACACTGTTGTATATCGATGTGGAGACAAGAGAAGTGTAAAAGCAACGTACATGAAGACGAATATTTAATCTAAACAGTGAACAAGTGGGCTACAATTGTACGTCGTTCAGACAGATGAAATTTCTGAAAGCCACTATAGTGGCTCGTCGTATCTAAGAGGTTAATCGAAGTATCCCCAAGAACACGCTCATACGATTCGTTCCATTTTCGAATACGATCACGAGAAGAATAACCTAGTCCGTTGTACGTGGGGAGTTAACAACGCGTTAGGAAATATCGCGAGAGAGTCTCGGTTATAGCGTTTCGCCTTTAACTGCTAGATTTAATGGCGTTCGTCCGAAGAAGATTCGCTTTTGATCACTTAACCTTTGAAAAGCCGTTCACACGACCCCGCCGCGAAATTTTGCACATTTATCACGGCGCGATGATCTAATCCATTGAAGCAGGCCAGGCTATCGGCGCTGCAACTTATTTAGCGGCGGGAAGAACGTGATACCTTGTACGGGAAAATAGTTTCCTGAACAATGGAGCTTTCGGATGATCGAGCGTTCGGATAACGGACAAAGAGGCGAGGGATAACGAAGGTTCCATTGCATTACTTAATTCCATTCGCCAGCCGAGATCCAAATTTCCAATGAAACCGAGCGACGCTCATCCGCAGTCTCGCGCAAGGAGCTCGCAGACACGTGACGTTTGTAGAGCGTCGAAATTCCCTGAATCGTGATCCAGGATACCAGGTCGAGGAACCGCGCGACACCTGAGAAATTTTTCGAAACCGTCCCCACGAACGCCGCGCCAGATACGTTGCGATATTCGAAGTCTTTGGCGAATTATGAATAAAAGATCAGCCAGCTCTTGTCTTTACAGCCACGAAACGCTCCATTGTCCCCAGGGCCAACGGTTCGAAAAAAGCCGACTTTATTTCGGCCACGGGGAGGACTCTGAGGTCGCCGATAAAACGAAGGGAATAAAAGGGGGGTCTGAAATTTACGGACTTACCCAGCAGAGGCACGGCGTCCGAAGTCGCTGGCATTGTCTCGGCCACCATATTCAGGAACACAGTGAGGGACAAGAGAATGGTTACCCCTGCAAAAGAGGTTCGTTGGACCAATTAATTATCACCGTACCTAGAAACCCTCTAAGCAAACGAGATTAATCCACAACAGGCTGAAGGACTCACAGCTGCTGATGCTCGAGACTCAAAGGTAAGACCAGGTGTCAGTGACTTTTCCCATTTTAGATAATACATATTTTTGCGCTCATCACTATCAACTATCGTGCTCTAGTTTTCTCTCGAAACATTTCGTATCGGATTTTGCTCGATATATATCGACATATTGGCGTATTTAGGAAGCTGAAGCCGATGGAGAAATTTTTCGCGATTGCTTTCGTGATTTTTTGGTAAGCCGAATTTTTGTTCACAATTATAGCGTATTTGCGGTGATAAAATTATGCGTGCTGTGAAATTCGAAGTCACGTAACGGTGATATGCGTTAACTCTTTGAAGCACGACGGTGTGAAGTACGTTTCACCTTTTTAGCGTCTGTGACATGCATGGTGGGACGTTGTCGGTGGTATCCCTGAATAGTGACATTGCTAGAAGCACAGCAACGATAAGAAATACTCACTGCGTGATCCTGTGTTGTGTGGGACGTACCACTATTCGTGTGGGAAAGAACGTGTTTCGTGGGATACCTGCATTTCCACTATTTAAGTATGCAAGTGAAATTTCATTTTTTCCCTTAATCGTCTTGCGTTATCTCTGTGCCAAGTAAATAACATAAAAGCATTCCGTGGCTTTTTTAAATTCAAAAAATTCGGTGCAATTAAGCTTCCTTTGCTGCTTGCAAAATCCTGTACTTCAAAGAGTTAATTCGATCGATGATGGAAATTGGAATTGTTAATCGCGAGGATGAAAAAGCCACGTTCGTGAGTTTTTCACGTACCGATTGAATCGCGAAATCATGAAGCAACGATGATCAATAAATTCCACTACTTCACCGGGACATGAATGTCTCTGATCGACATCGACACGGCTGTAATCTCCTGTACAATTCAATACGTTACGAGAACTCGACTGAATCTAATCACGTAAGCTGTTATAGCGTGCTCTGAAGCTTGCAAGGAATTGCAATTATGCCAGCGAGCGATTTGAACTTGCCGGGAGATAGTAATCACCGGAATCTCGGGGAAGACTCATAACGAAATAATGCGATGACTTCGTGAACGCGTCGGCATGATAGCATGCTGCTGCTGAATAATTGGCCAGAGTTTTAGAAACCTTTGTAGTACGAGATTTAACGTTAAATCCCGTGTAAAATACAATTGTAATCCTAACGCTTTTTCTCTGTAATCGAAGGATTTATATATAAACTGACAATTTTTGAATCTATGAGAATTAAAAATCCACATCAGTGTGAAATCGGTAATGCAAGAAAACGGTGAATTTTTTAATTATATTATAAGAAAAATTCATTGAAATCATTTTTAATACAAATCCTTCAATTATTGCTACACGTGCATGTAAGTAAATTAGATGAAAGACTAAACACATTACATCATATTAAAATATAAATTTACCATTTACAATTAATACAAATATTCATATTTACGATCTGTACCCTGGTTGACAATATAAAAATTAAATTACCCTGATTTATTAATTACGCTTCTATCCAATTCCCCATAATTACACCATTTCGTGATTTACCAAAGGAATGATTTTAACCCTTTGACTGCGGTACATTCTCGAAGAGAATCATCAATACAGATATTTGACAATTGACAGAACAACATTGAAACAATTGCCGATATTCAATTGCTATGTTATATTTCAGATGGAATCAATTGGTAAAGTAGCAAAAGTGATAGAGTAAGAAAAATGTAGGGAGCGTGTATTTATATATTGATAAATTTGTGCCGACGTATACATGCGTCTTTCGTATATAGTGATAGACTTATGAGAACGTATATATACGTCTTTCGTAGTGAAAGGGCTAAAGAAGGTATGTTCACAATACCAGGATCGGAATTTGACATTAAATACTTCCGATTGTCGTGAATCTTACTAAATAAAATTGAACACGAGATAAAAATGATGAAAAGAAGGCATCGTATAAATCACAAAACGATTAAAATTAATCGTTTCACGAAAATTCGCTATATTCTACGCTCTACTGTATGTTATACAATTTTCATAAAAGCTCCTAGAGGAACGAGCAGTTGTTTACTTATCGCTTTCGCGAGCTATCGTGATGCCCGTATTCATTAGCGTAACGAAAGGAAATTAATTCGTGCAGCGAAGAATTGTTTCCTTCGGAACGAGGACGCTAGGAAACGAATAGTTCATTAACCATTCAGCAGTTTCCTGCCGTAATTCTGGCGATAGGTAGGCAACGTTTAATCTTCTAACATGCAGAGCGGTTATCTAACTTGCCTAGAGAGAGCTTCTCGCCGGAATCGGGTGGCAAGGTGAATCCCAGAACGGCCATGCTGGCAATCAGGACACACGGCACGATCAGGTTGAAGAAATAGTAAAGAGTCCGCCTTCTGATGATCACCACGAACGTTATATCTATATATGGTTCTGGGCAGCAATTGTAATAAATTTCGTTCCTTTTACCAGGTACCCCTGTAACAAGAAGACGAAGAATATAAAAAGCAAACCAGTGGATCGGCATCTAATTATCCTTCAAATTCACGCGTCGCTGAGACTCCTCTCTCAAGCCGTATCTAGAGTAATACCAATCTAGGGTCCCAAGAAGATCCTATACTTAAATAATTATACAAATTAGTACAGGTAATTCCGCATTTTACATTATTTACATATTATAGGATACCATTTTCAAGGAGGTTGCGAGTCGGCTGTTGCCAACAAAAATAAATTATAAACCGATCGACATTTTCCAGAAGCAAATGTATAAGTTATTCTAGATAACAAAATTAAATTGCGAGGCCCCTACGGGGAGGTGAAGCGTAGGTTAACCCTTTGACACTCGTGCCCTTCAGTCGCCATTTGATAAAATTTCGAAGCTCGATATTAATTAATATATGAAATTTAAAATAATGTAACAGTGCGCGAGGTATCGAAATTAAATAATTCTACATGTCAATTATTACACGATTTCTTATTTAGTGCTCTAAAAATATCAACAGCTTTATAGCAGAAAATTTTTCAACTCGTACCCTTCTTTAGCCAAAAGATCGTCGAGTGCAAAGGGCTAAGAAAAGCATAAAAGCATGGTCCTCGAGGACCAAAACAGAGTCCTTAGAAATCAATTGTGACCAGTACAAGCGTGAGTCGCTTGGTGTTGGAAAGAGAGTTAAATTAGAGTGCGTCTTTGTGTGTTTTCGTCTCGTTATCTCGGTGTTCTTTTCCTAAGTTAAATCAGTTTACGAGTTTTGAGTTTGTGTTATTCCGTTCTTGTTCTTTCGTCAATTTTCGGTGTCCCGAGACCAGTTTCCGTCATCCTACAATATCATCATTTGCACCTGTTCTTTCATCTTTGCGAGGCTATTTTATGCCAACCCGGCATATTTTTGGAACCTACCTACCATGCAGTAAGGGTTACTTGCACTCAACAATTCCGTTCAACCTAGATACTCTCTCTTCCTCTATTTCGCAATCTCTTTTACCCATTTTGGACAAACAGCCCAGACATATTTAGGGACATTCAGTCACGTCCAGCCGAAACTCAGGCAGGTGCAGTTCTCCGCACTCTAATCTCGAGTACACTCTGTTCTCTCTCGCATCTCTGACACACTCGCCACGTACGTTCACAAAATTTCCATTCCCGCTCGATCATTACTCGTCCATGGAAAAATTTCATTACCCATGTTCTAGTTATCCCGTTGGATCGTTTTACGCTTCAGAGGATCCATCATCGGGGTGGCGATCTCTGCCAAGCTCTAACCTTCTCGCGACTGGCAACCTCGGTGTGGTAACTTTTATCGAAGCTTTTGCCGGCTACGTAGAAGTTAGCGGAGTTAGCAGAACGCAGCAGACAGCGAGGTCAACGCAACGACGACACCGCGACCGGCAGAAAAGTGCCAAGTGTTCAGCTACGACGGATTCAGCTCGCATGGAAAAGCTCGTGAAATAAAAGGCCCGATAGCGATGACTCGACTATTTCTACGCGACGTGCACTATGCACTCGAATTATATCGACATACCGGAAGGGAGACCGCGACTTCATTTTCAAGTGTTTCTTCGGTTATAGCCGCATTTCTCAGCGGCTGCAGTCACTCAAGATACATTTCTGCCGAGGGCTTCATAAGCTTTCTATGCATACCGCGTACGTACCGACACCTTGCGCGTATGCATCCCGGAAATAAAAGCTACGTGTCCGTGGAACGTGACACTTTTATTTTACAATTTGCGATTTACAAACCTGCATGCGTTCTTTATATACCACGTTACACCGAGTATCGTAAGTGCCTGTTTTTACCTTCTACTTTTACGTGGAACATTTTTATGAACAGATAAGAGCATATGTTTACGTATTTCCTTGTTATCGAGGGAAAGTATCGAACGAGTAAAGAATGCCCATGAAATTGACTTTCCGTAGAATTTCGCGAAGAACGTATTAACACGAGAGGTGCCTTTTAATCGCCATTTGATAAAATTTCGAAGCTCGATGTTAATTGATATATCAAATTTGAAATAACGTAACACTGTGCGAGGTAACGAAATTAAATAATCCTACGTGTTAATTATTATACGATTTCTTATTTACTTAAAATTTTTCAACTCGTACCCTTTTCTAGCCAAAGAATCGTCGAGCGCAAAGGGTTAATATTATACATAGGGTGGATCACCGCATATTGACATCTAGATATACGTCATTATTATTACGCATAACGAAAAATTACGTAACTTCATCTGAATCATTTTTCGCTATACGTAATAATAATGACGTATATCTAAATGGCAATATGTGGTAACCCACCCTGTATATATACAAATATGTATAAATATATAATAAAATAAAAATATCAAAAATATTCGATGCAAATTATCTATTGCAAAGAGTCGAGGGATATTCATACAAAAACATAGAAACGAGCTTATATTCGCCATCTAGATATACGTCATTATTATTACGCATAACTAAAAATGTTTTGGATGAAATTACGTATTTATTCCGATACGATAAATTATCACTTCATAATGAAGCATTTTAGAGAAAAAAATACAGACGTGTTATCAATTTATTTCGAAGCTGGGAAAAGTGTTACACATGCAGAAAGATTATACGTCAATAGATTTACTCGACGAAATCATCCAACATGTCATATTTTTGATAATGTTTTTAAAAAATTTCACCAAATTTCACCATTTATTACGCAATAAATACGTAACAGAGATTAAATTGTA